TTATTACTTTTTACTGACCCCTCACCAGAATTGCCTATGAGGCCTGCAATTCTACCAATCATTTCTTCAAGGTAATCTTGGTGTCATGGGTTGAATTGTGTAACCTGCAAAATATGAATCAACTTGACTGGGCCATGATTCTCAGTGCTTCACCTGTTATGAATGATGAGGTTTGGCAGTTATATAAGGACATCATTTTTCTCCAGAATGTGATCTTCTGTAATCCAGCAATAAGTTCTAAGGGGATTTGGGTGGTATGTAACTCCTTTACCTAGGTGACAGCTCTGAACATATGAAAGGGGAGTTTCATTTCAGTATGATGTGCATATCATTTTATCTTGCAAGTAATACAATGAGTGAGAGAGAACTAAGCAGGGAAACAAGAACCTCAGCACCATAGAGAGAGGAGTGAGGAACAGGAGTGCATCCTTCAGACCCAATGTCCCTATCCGTATAACTTGTAGTCTCAAGGAGAAATTGGACACCAAAATATGTCCAAAGTATATGAGTCAAGAGATGATGAAAAGAGAACTTTCCCCAGGACCACCAGAGAAAAAGTCTTCCCCTAGAGTGGGTACCCTCAATTTACCCTCGTAGCTTCCTACTGTATGATAGAATAAATTCAATTTCTCACAGTGTCAGAGGCTAGGAGTCTGAATTCAGGGCCTTACTAGGGGAAGGCTCTTTCTGGTGGACCTGGAGGAAACGCTCTTTTGATCTTCTGGGGAATCTTCACCTGGTTGGTATCTCTCTTTCCACTCACTTACTTTGGTGTTTAACCTCATCACACGGCTTCTTTTGCTTGTCTGCTTAACCCCTTTAATATCTCAAAATAGATGGTCTCAAGATACACCCTACAAAAATCGTGCCTCATTAACCTAGCAAGACAAACCATTCCCAAATGTGATTATAGCCACAAGTAGAGAAATAGGATTTACAACATGTTTTGAGTGGGACACAATGTAATCCATAACAGACGGGTTACAATATGTTGAGAAGAGAATAAGTAAATTGTTTAGTAAGTTTAAGAACAAGTTCTATGATGCTTACCTTCCCGACATAACCACTGAAGACAAAGCGGGTAAATAAGCAAATGTGGTGAAGAAAGCTGATGGTGCC